GAAGGAAGGAAGGAAGGAAGGAAGGAAGGAAGGAAGGAAGGAAGGAAGGAAGGAAGGAAGGAAGGAAGGAAGGAAGGAAGGAAGGAAGGAAGGAAGGAAGAAAGGAAGGAAGGAAGGAAGAAAGGAAGGAAGGAAGGAAGGAAGAAACTGAAAGAAAGAAAGGGAGAGAAAGAAAAAGAGAGGGAGGGAGAGAGAGAGGGAGGAAGGAAGGGAGGAAGGAAGGAAGGAAAGGAAGGAGGGAGGAAGGAAGGAAAAAGAACCAGGTTTGAGTCTTGGCCTTTCCACTCATGAGCTATGATTGGGGTGCAGATTCCTAATCTTCTCTAATCCTCAGGTTCCTCCACTCTAAAATGTTAATTATAGTACTGTCATTCTCAACTCCACAGTTATTTTGAGAAGCAATGAGACAATGGATGGAAATTACCTTGTTACTGTGAAGTGCTATAAAATGTAAGGTATTATTGTTATTAAGGTCACATCCCCTTTCTTAAACTTCAAAATGTTCAAAATTACCTGATCACATGTAGTGAGCATACTCTCACTGTGTTTAAACAACATTGAAGGCATCAACACTATTTTCATAAAGCCCAGACAAGACAGCTCCTCCATAATCCAGGACTAACATTCATTCACTCACTCACTCACCCACTCAATAAATATTGAATAAGCACATATCACCTGTGGTGTAATGCATTTGAATCTGGGGAACAGAAAGATAAGGCACAATCCCTGACTTCAAGGGGTTTATAATCTGACACATTTGCTGAAACTACCTTGACTTGAAGGGTGGTTACTTATGGTAGCAATGTCCAACTGGGAAGTAAGGAGTCTGTGCTAGGTCCTGTAGCGTCTGATTTTTTTTTCTTATTGATGATTAAAGACATAGAATGTTGTGCTTATCAAATTTGCTAATTAAAAACTGGGAGAGATAGATAGTTAAGATATGGATGGCACAATTAGGATCCAACAAAATCTTGGCATGTGAGACCAGACCTAAAACATTGAGCCAAATCTAATATGATTAAATAGCAATAACCTAAAGTCTGCCACCAGCGTTCCAAAACACAATTTCACAAATACAAGATGGGGGTTATATATTCATATTTCATATAGGGATTCTTGGGGTTTTGGTGGGTGACAAGCTTAATAGGAAACAACAGAGGAATATGGCCAGCAAAAAGCTAATTCAGTCTTAGAGATCATTAGGAGAAAAATAGCGTTCAAGATTAGGGAGATGAGGGTGCCACTCTATTCTGTCCTTGTCATAACACAACTAAATATTGAGCTCAGTTTGAGGTGGCACATTTTAGAAGAACATTGAAATCCTGGGAAGAAACCAAAGGAAGTTAAATAGAATGGTTAATGACCTCAAAATTATGTCGTGTGAGGATCAGTTGAACAAACTGGGTGTATTGAGCCTATAGAAGAAAATTATTGCTGTTGTCATAAATAATAACATTTATATTGCACTTTGAGGTTTGTAGAAAGCTTTACATGGGTTATATCACATGATCCTCTGAATAACTCTCTGAGATAAGTGTCATTATTGTTACCTTTATTTTACAGATAAAGAAATAGGCTAAGAAGGATAAGTACTTGCCCAGCTTGTCTGCAGTGTCTGAAGCAGGATTCAAACCTGTCTTCCTGATTCCCAGTCCAATAGTCTAAGTATCCACCTGCACCTCCAGGAAGAAAAGGGAGAGATGGGAGGACATGGTACGTACCTTTAAGTATTTTAACATCTGGCATGTGACATAGGGATAAGAGTTCTTGTATTTTGTCTGAGAGGGCAGGACTTGGAACAAGTGAGGAGAAGATGGAGAGAGGAAAGTTAGGGCTTTGAGGAAGGATAAAATTCCTCATAATTTGACCTTAAGAGCAGACTGTCCTGTCTTGGAAAGTAGTGATCAATTGTCCCTCACCGGAGACTTCTAAGTAACATCTGGATGACCACTGGCTGGGTACGTGGTGGTGGGAATTCTGTTCCATGTAGGGGTTAGATGAAATGGCTGCTGAGGTCACTTCGAACAGGGAGAGTCTTTGTTTCTGCAGCCCGTCCTAAAGTTCTTCGACAGGTCATTCAGGGCTAGACTATTTAATCAAGATCCTGTGTCCCGAGGGCCTCCTTCTCAGCCGTTATAGGGGAGAAAAACACTTTCCTTTTCTTCAGTGTTTTTGACAGTGACGATGCGAACAGGAGCAATCCACATTTCTATAACTGATGCTGAAGAATTGATATTGTTGTTGTCACCATCTCCAAAAACCCTGAAGAAAAGGAGGGAAACAAACATTTAATAAATGCCTACTATGTGCCAGGTATTGTCCTAAAGCGCTTTACAATTATGATCTCCTTCGATCCTCACAACAACCCTGGGAGGAAAGTGTTATGACTAGACCCATTTTACAGTTGAGGAAACCGAGGCAGACAACTGGGCCACTCAACTAGGAAACATCTGAGGCTGGATTTGAACTCAGATCTTCTTGAATTCAGGCCCAGGGCTCTATCTATTGGGCCATCTCAGACAGCTAGAAAACTCATGTTCAAGGCAGAAAAGAATCACTGTCAGTTTTGGAGAAATACAGCAGTTCCTCCCAGGTGTTTTCAGGAAAGGGCAAGGTGTGTTTTTAGCTTCAGAAGATACGATGTGGCTAGAGGTATTTCAGTCATATTGTATAAATGCAATCAAAATGTGTGTGTGTGTGTGTGTGTATGTATGTGTGCACGCGCACACACGCAACATAAACAGACATCTGGAAAAAATAAATATTAGCAACTAACCACGCATAAACAAAGCACAATCCAAGCAGAGGGAGGAGGAAAGCATCAAACAAGCAGGTGTCCTTATATGTTTAGTTAGAACTCAATTAAATAAATGAACCCACAACATATGAAAAAGGTGAATCACTGAAGGTCTAAGTTCCCCTAATGTGTCAAAGTTCCAGTAACATCTGGGTGAAACATTGTATTTGTCCTTCCTCTGCAGCAGATATTTGAATACCTTTCAAATGTTCTCCAACATCTCTGGGTTAGGGGATAGCATAATTTGAGCCTGGATCATACCTCCTGGCTCATCTCCTTCAGTCCCCGTGAAAGTTTTTCATCATCTAGGATTCCCAGAGTCTAAAAACTGTGCACACCATCAAAGCAACACTGAGACAGAAATTATTCCCATGAAATACAAATTCCTTAGAGTAGCATTTAAAAGCCCTTGGCGATCTGACTCCAGTCTACTATTTCCAGTCTAATTCATATTTTTTTCCTTCATAAACTAAATGTTCTAGCTAACCTGGTCTACTTGGGGTTCCCTTAACTTGATATTCTACCTCCTGCATCTACACAGGCTGTTCCCCATATCTGTATCAGACTCCTTCCTCCCTTACCTCCCTGAGAAACCAGTTAATGGGCCATCTGCAAAGGGAATTTATTTTTTTTTATTTTTGGGGGGAGTGGGATAATTTCTGATCCCCTCATGATGATGGGCTGGCTCTTTCTTTTCCCCAATTGATTGTGCACTGGACTTATCTGTCCATCTGTAGCATCTCACCTTTAGAATATAAAGCTTCTTGAGGCAAGGACCACTTTCTATTTTGTCTTTGTATATGAAGAACCAGAAAAGGGGGGAGGAGGGTTAACCTGAGATCCTTGAACTTTTTTCTTTCTTTCTTTCCTTTCTTCCTTCTTTCTTTCTTTCTTCATTTCTTTTTCTTTCTTTCTTTCTTTTTAATAATTGCATTTGAATATGATTGGTTTCCTTTAAAAATTCTATGCATTTTATGGTATCCATTTTAAATCATTATTCTAAGAAGGGACCCATAGGATTCAACAGATTGGCCAAGGGTTCCATGACACATAATAAAGGCTAAAAACTCTATGTAGAACAATGTCTTACACATCATTGGTACATGATAAATTCCTGTTTTTCTGTGTTATGTCTTTGTGTGGGCGTGGGTATGTTTACTGAGGAGGACTCAGAAGCCATCTAGTTCATTCCCCCAATTTTATTAAGAAAACTGAGGCCAAGGGAGGTTAAGTGACTTGACCAAAATCAAACAGATGGCAAAAGAGGAGGATTTGAACTCAGGCACCCTAGCTCCAGAGTCAGTGCTCTCTCCAACGTACCATATGTGTATATGTATATCATATACATAAACTTAGACATTTGAAGAGTCTAAAAGGTTTCTCATAAATCATACAGGAGTGAACTCCTTAGGAGAAATAATAATTATCCAAAATATTTTACCATTGACTAAAAGCAAAAATAGGAAAAGAGAGATTCTAGAAAATATGAGCTAATGAGTCTAATCGTAATTAAACTCCTGGCAAAATCACAAGAAAAAGTATTAAACAGGTGGTTAACACTTAATGCGGAATATAGCAATCACATGGTGCTTTCCTGGGTTCATTAAAAACAACTTGAATCGTACCAACTTGATTTCTTTCTTTAAAAAAAAAAACAGGGCTACTAGACTGATAAATCAGGGAGAGTTTAAGCCCCAATTATGTGGATTTCAACAAGAAATTCAAAAAATCCTCTCATGAGATCTTTTTGAGCAAGATTGAGCAATGTGGCCTGGATATTAATATGTATTCATGGCTAAATAACTGTATCCAAAGAGTGTTGGTTACTAGAATGATACCGATCTGAAGAAGGCTTCCAGTGATATGTTCTGAGGCTCTTTCCGTAACCCTGTCCCATTTAACATTTGTCTCGTGACAAAGATATATAAGACATGCTCATAAATTTGCTGAGAACATACAGCTGGAGGTTTAGTGGGTGTGGAATTGGTGGCAAGTATTGAATGACTAAAACCAGATTTCAAAATGTCTCAATGGGTTGGAACAATTCATTAAAACTAACAAAATGAAATTCAGTAGGGATAAGGGCAAGTCCTTCATACATTTGAATTCAAAAGAATTAATAGTATGAGTACAATATAGGAGAGGTATAGCTTAACAACAGTTCACGTGTAAAAAGTATTCAGAATTTTGCTGATCACAAACTTAATATTGAGTCAACAGTGTGGCATGACTGCCAAAAAAAAAAAGTTGTAATCGTAGACTAAACTAGTAGAAATACAGTATCTAGAATCAACTCTGTAGCGATTATTCTCTGTACTGGCCGAGACACATCTGGAGAGTTGTGGTCAGTTATACCACGTTTTAAGGATATTGACAAACTAGAGTATGTCCAGGACAACTAGAATGTCAAGGGTCTCAAAACCATGTCATGGCAAAGAATAGTATAGAGAGTTCTGCTGATTAACCTGGACAAAATAAGATATGATTTTGTGCTGTTGCTATTCAATTGTTTCAGTCATTTCCAACCTTTCATGACCTCATTTGGGGTTTTCTTGGCAAAGATACTGGAGTGGTTTGTCATTTCTTTCTCCAGTTTGTTTTACAAATGAGGAAACTGAGGCAAACAGAGTTAAGCAACTTGCCCAGGGTCACACAAAAGCTAATAAGCGTCTGAGGCCAGTTTTGAAGAGTCTTCCTGATTCCAGGACCAGCACTCTACCCACTGCACCACCTACCTGCCCCTAATATATGGCAGCTATCTTCAAATAAGTAAAAGGTTATCATAATCTGTCCTGGCCCCTTTACTCTTTTCTCTCTATATTGTTTTTAACATGGTGATCTCCTCAGCTCTCATGGGTTCAATTATTGTCTCTATGCAGATAACTACTGGGTGTACTTATCCAAGCCTTGTCTCCCTCCTGAGCACCAGTCCCACACCACTAGCTGCCTGTTGGACATTTCACACTTGATGTCCCACTGGCACCTCCAACTTATCATATCCAAAACAGAACTCATTTGTCTTTCCCTTCAAATTCTCCCTTCTTCCAAACTCCCTATTACTGTCAAGGGGACCAACATTATTCTAATGCCCCAGGTTTATAATCTTGGTGTCATCCTCAACCACTTTCTCTCACCCTATGCATCCAACTAGTCACTTATCATTTCTTTCTCTACAACATTTCTTACATATGTCCTCTTCTTGTCACTCACAGAGCCACCATTTTAGTTCAGGCATTCATCATCTGCCCTTGGATTATTGTACTAGCTTCCCATTTGTTCTCCCTACTCCAACCCATTCTTCACTTAGTTGCCAAAGTGATTTTTCCTTAAGTGTAGCCCTGACCAAATCAGCCCTTCCCAATTCAATAAACTCCATTGGCAACATCTGATACTTCCAAGGTCAAATGTGAAGTCCTGCTTCTCATTAAAACTCTCCTCAACCTATTCCCCTCCCACCTTTCCAATCTCCTATTCTTCTCCTCTCCAAACATTCTACAATCCAACCACACTGGCCTCCTGGCTGATCCCTTGTCCACAACCCTCCAGCCCCCATTTCAGGGTGTTTGCACTGGCTGTTTCTGATGCCTGGAATGTTCTCCCTTCAAATTTTGACTCTGGAGGTTCCTGACTACTTTAAAGACACAATTAACTTCAAGGAAGACCTCCTGGCACCCTGTAGTTGCTAGTTGTATCATTTCTTAATTTACCTTCTATTTACTCTATATTTGTCTTGTATGTTCTGATTTAATGTATGTTGTATCCTCCATTGGAATGTAAGCTCCCTGAGGGTAGGAATTGTTTTTTGTTCCATTTTCTTTGTATGGCCAAGTCTTAGCACAGTGCCTGCATTGTTGATTGATTGAGTAATCTGGAAGAGAAATTAAGCTGATTCTACATAGCTGCAAAAAGAACAACAAAGTTCCCTAAACGGAAATTATAGAGAGGTAGATTTAGGCACAATATAAGGAAGATGTTTCTAATAATAGAATTGTCCAGCAATATTTAAGGTAACTCAATCTTTGGCCTGTAGGTCAAATGGAATCATAGGATTAATGAACTTTAGACATGAAAAGTATATTAGAGGACATCTAGTGAACCTTTTTTAAATGTGTATATTTGCATACATATATGTGTGTATATATGTGTGCATGTGTATACACACATACACTTAATAAAGACATGAAAGTGGGATACCTAATTCTAGACCTAGGTTTAACACTACCTGGATAAATCACCTAATTGATTATAAGCCTCTTGACAGCAGAGATTGTGTTTTGCTTTTTTTTTTATCCTGTGGCTTAGCACAGTGCCTGGCACATAGCTTGTATTTAATCAATATTTTTTGATTGATTAATTGATTGGACCTGGGCTTCCTCTTCTTTAACATGGAGGGTTGTACAAAATAAACCCTAAAATGCCTCCAAATTCTAAAATTTCTGTGATTCTTTCCTACAAAATATACCACTGGTTCTTGAAATATTAATATT